TGTTCGCTCCTTCATAATAATATTAATTAAACAATTTGCATGCTAATAAGGTAACAATTATCAGGGCCTCTGTTGAAAGATTCAGGTTATTACAACACGCCAATCTGAAGGCCAGGGGTCAGAGAGTGAGAGGCGAGCGAAATTTCAACTCAAATTAACATTCTGTCAGCTCCAGAAAATGGGATAAATAAAGTCGAATTAATTCATTATAATAAAGAGAGATGGGCGAGGAGCGGGGCCGGCGCCCGCCCCCTCTGCTGCCCTCCCCTCGGGCTGGATTGATCACAGCTCTGTATTCCGAAGCACGCGCCGGGCGCATTCCAGATCGCGAGCGCGACAGAAAACCAGGCGGCGGTGGCCACGGGCAAAATCGAGCCGGATGGGCAGCGTTTACGTGTAGTATTTATAGCGAAAGAAATTAAATTATAGCGAAAAGTAGTGCTCTTGGCCCTTGACCTCGGGATTAACCCTTGGAGCGCACTCCTAGCGCCACTAGAAACGGGGAGAGGGGTCCCCCACCTTCTAGGCCTGTCCCCAGCTCTGCACATTCCCTCCTCCCTCGGAGACAGCGGGGAGAGTAATTAAGTCCAGCTTGGCAGCCCAGCCACAGTCGCTGAGAAGCTAGGCGGATTGCAGCCAGGCTGGGGTCCAGGTTCAGGACACAAGGCCTCGGGAACCATCCCTGGAGGGCAGCCTGGTTCCCTCTCTTCCAGCCCAGTGGGTCTGGACACCTCTCCCCCGTGGACTGGCACACATCCTTCTGGTCTGCCCCTCCGTTCCCCAGCTTGGGGCTTAGCAGTCTGGCCTGTGTCACTTTCATCTAAAGTCAATTTGTCAATTTGGGGACTGGGATGTTTAGGGGCTCCCTTCCTGGTGCAAGTGGATTGGGAGGGTCAGAGTACCATGCCTACGAATTTGGGTCCAGCAAAAAAGCCATCTCTCCAGTGACAAACTTGGTTTTACAAAGGATACATACATATCCACCTGGCTGAGAAGAACTCTTGCTCACAGTCCACACTTGCCCCTTATTTAAAAATATGCCCCCTAATGATTCAGTTTTGAGTCCATCAATATCTTACAGTGGAGAAGGGAATGGCATCTCCCTGTGAACATAATTTAATTATAATAGATGGGTTAGTTAGTTCCTCCATCCCATTCTTCAGAGCGGACTCAGGGAGACGGATTTTGGTTGCTGTTGTTGAGGGAAGGCAAGGGCCATTGGTCATTATCCTGTTTTCCTTCCTTCTTCCACATTCCCTCCTCTTCTGGGCTGGGGTCCATGACCCATTGGGTGGGAGTTAAGTGGGGTTAGGGTGTCCCCAGTTGCCTCCACCCTGTCTGCACTGATGGGGTAACTGCCAGTCAAGGAGGAGGGCATCAGGTTAGACTCCTTATAGGCGGGAGCTGCTTTTGGCTGGAGTCACTATTTGGAAGTTCTCCTGTCCCTGGTCTCTCCCTCCCCTCTTACTCCCCTTTTTACCCTCTCCTTTCCTTCCATCTATCCACCACCCCTTCTGTCTCCTTTCCATCCTCCCTCTTCCCACTGCCCGCTCTTCTCCCCTGCTCCAATCCCCCTCCTTCCTCCCCACCCCTCCCTTCTCTCTCCATCCTCCTTTTCATTCTCCCCTTCTCTCTATTCTCCCTCCCGATCCTCCCTTCCCTCCTCCCCATATCCTCCTTTTTCTTCTCTTCTTTCCTTCTTCCTCTCCATTCCCTTCTCTCCTTGCTCCACTCTTCCCTCGTCCCCTTTCTCCCTCCTTCCTCTCTCCTCCTCTTTCTTCTCCCTTCCCCTCCATCCTCCCTTTCTCTCCATCCTCCCTTTCTCTTTCTACACCCCCTCCATTCTCTCCCTCCTGGGCCTGTCCTTCCTCCTCCTTTTTCTTCCTGTCCATCTTCCAGTTCGTTGGGACACTTCTCCCCTTCCTCCTCCTCATTCCTTCCCCTCCTCCTCCCTCTGCTGCCTTGGCTAGCAGCAACCCGAGAGAGGCGGCTGCTAGAGAAGCCCTTGTAGTTTTAAATTCAATGTGACAGTTTCGGAAAGAGCGGATGATGAATCTCCCATTATTGGATCAGTCTATTTGCCGCTCAATGTCTCTCTGTAATTGGAGCAACATCACTTTAAAGGTTCAGAGAGTACAGCATTTCTGGTGAAAAATCCCCACAACACGCCTGCGAATGTTTTAAAGGGAAATCTATTAGAAGGAGGCGAGGGGCGGGAGCGGCGGGGGCAGGAGTGGGGGCTCGCCGGGGGCCCGGGGCCGGCCGAGCGCGGCGGTGCCCCTCCCTCCCCACCCCGTCTTGTTGTGACAGCTCCTGATACTGTTTATGGAGGTGCGTGTCAGGTATAATTAGCAATCGATATGGAAAACGTTTCCTTGCACCCAGCACGCCTCTGACGTCAGAGCCGATTAGCGCTTCTTATTGGTCCCAAATTCCCCGGGCCGCGGCTAATTATCGAGAGCTTGATGTTGATAAAGTAAAGCGGCGGAGCGCGGGCCGAAGCATGTGTAGGGCTCCGGGCCCCTGTACTCGCCGCCGCCGTCCGCGCCCCCGCGCCCCGCCGGCCCCGCGCGCGAGATGATGGACGGTCGCCTCCTGGAGCACCCGCATGCCCAGTTCGGGGGCTCGCTGGGCGGCGTGGTGGGTTTCCCCTACCCGCTGGGCCACCACCACGTGTACGAGCTGGCCGGCCACCAGCTGCAGTCGGCCGCCGCCGCCGCTGCCGCGGCCTCGGTGCCCTTCTCCATCGACGGCCTGCTCAGCGGCTCGTGCGCTGCGGCCGCCGCCTCGGTGGTCAACCCCACGCCGCTGTTGCCCGCCGCCTGCGGGGTGGCCGGAGATAACCAGCCCTTCAAACTTGCAGGTAGGCTGGAGGCGGGGACACGGGAGAACACAGCGGGGGGTCGCGGGGGGGCACCAAGCCGTCGGGGAGTAGCGACTGGCTCTTCCGTGAGCCCCGCACCGAAGCTGGGTGCAAGCGAGGCGAGCATCTGGTGGGTGGTTGAGCTTTGCGGCGTCCTGTGCGTGCCCGCAGACTCGGGGGATCCAGACAAGGAGAGCCCGGGCTGCAAACGGAGACGCACCCGCACCAACTTCACGGGCTGGCAGCTGGAGGAGCTGGAGAAGGCGTTCAATGAGAGCCACTACCCGGACGTGTTCATGCGCGAGGCGCTGGCGCTACGCCTGGACCTGGTCGAGTCCCGAGTTCAGGTAAAGACCGGGTGTTGCCCGGGGGAGTCAGCCGTCCAGCACTGGCACTGGGCTTGCAGAGAACCGCGAGGCAGGGCTGTCTTTGTTCTAAGTGGTGGGAGGTGGTTCCAGGCTCCGCGCTGCTGGCTGAGGGTTGATTGTGAGGGTTGAACCCCTTCGCTCATCCGGAGGTGAGTAACTCGAGAATGCCAGGATGATTTGGGAGAGCTCCTGGCGATGTCCCAGTACCCACTGCAGTGGCTGCATGCGTGCGTGCGATCCGGGAAGCCAGATTTGGGTTGGCTGTGGCCCGGAGCACTGTCTGGAGAGGGCCAAGGCTGCCCGAAGAGCCCTCCAGTAGAGGACAAAGTGGGCCAGAGTCTGGGAGCTCTCAGCGGAGGCTTTCTCCCAGCTCCGAAGCAGACTGATCTGTTTGTTTACCTCTGGCTTGTGAACTATTAAGATAGAAACACGTATTTATCCATCCATAGCCTTGCAGATACAGGGAGAAACATTAGAGGCAGGGAAGGTGGAAACGTATGCGGAACACACTGGAAAAGAGAGGAGGTTTTTTTTTTTAAAAAAAAGGTGTCTGAATTTAATACTCTCCCCCATTAAATTCCTCCGTCCCCAACACTCTTCGTTATTTGATTTCATGCGGAGCCAGGAGGCAGTATTCTTTTTTTTTTTTAATACAGAATCAATTTGGTGTAATAAAATTCTAGAATAATGTCTGTATAATTAGATGCTGTTTCTAGAGTACTGAAGCTTTGGGGCCTGTGTCATGGTGGGTGCCTGGGATGGAGGCATACGCTGGCAAAATACCCGTTTAGCACCTATAGATTTCCCTGAAATGATATTTGGGTTCTGGACTGTGGCCTGGCCTCTTCTGTTTAGAACTCTCTTTATCCAATTCGTTCTATCCCTTAAGTGAAGTCCGAATATCTTCTTTTCCCCTCAAATATGATAATAATTTCTGGTGGTGAGACAGTCTGGAATTTACACACACACACACACACACACACACACACACACAAGTTTGGAAAAAGAAAAGAGAAAGCAGTTACAGCGTCTTAGGATTTGGTTTAGTCCCCGAGACTTCCGCGTCTGCCAGGCTTCCTTCGAACAGGTCTGGTGTGCAATCGTGCCAACTTTATATGGCCACAGCAAAGCATTTAAATAGCCAGTTTCTGCAGGAGGATGGTAGCTCTGGCGGTTCGGTCTGAGGTGTAGTGGTCTGGGGAACTGTTTAAATCCTCCTTGGCTATCCCAGACAAGGCCTAGCAGAGAGCATGAAGGAGTCCAGAGCGTTTCTGCTCTCCCAGGAGGCCTCGTGACCAATTTCTGGCCTGCTTGCCCGCCTTGTAGCACCCCAGGCCAGGCCAAGCTGGACTACTTTGGAAATGATCTTGTTGGTCCCTGGCCTACAACCCTTCATAAAGAAGGATGTGTGTAGCTGTGCTGGGGTTGGTGGGTTACTGAAGGTCCATCCAAGTTCGGCTTCACAGGCCCTTCCTGAGGAAGAAGTATCCAGATTTCCCTTCATGGGGCACCCTGAAATGTGGGCTTTGAGAGTCTGGTGGGGGCCGAAGACAGGTGTGGAAGGCACAGCCTTTCCTGCTCTTCACCCGGCCAGGCTCCTTAGAACTGTGAGGTGCCAGCGAGGGCAAATCCGGGCCTTGCTTGCTGCCTTCCGACCAGGAACTCTCCCGACAGCGGGATCACTGGCCTTGCCTGAGGAAGGGGCAGTTCCCCGGGGCCCAAGGTGAGAAGTCAGAGCGGGAATCTGACCAAGAGGCCCCATCTATGCTCCTTCCGAGTGTATAAGATGCTGGCCAGAAGCTGCAACCCCAGTATCAGCATACAAGGGCCGGCAGAGAGCGTGCCCTGGCTCTGGTAGTTCCCTCTGGAGCCGAGGTCTCTCAGGCCTGCCTGAGGGCGTGCGTGGGAGGCCCGCAGCCTCCGCGGCTAGCCAGCCTGATTGTGCCTCCCCCTTCCCCTTGTCCGGCTGTTCTAGGTCTGGTTCCAAAACCGCCGGGCCAAGTGGAGGAAGAAGGAGAATACCAAGAAGGGCCCTGGCCGGCCGGCGCACAACTCGCATCCGACCACGTGCAGTGGGGAGCCCATGGATCCGGAGGAGATCGCTCGAAAGGAACTGGAGAAGATGGAGAAAAAGAAACGCAAGCACGAGAAAAAACTGCTCAAGAGTCAGAGCCGCCACCTGCACTCGCCCGGTGGCCTGTCCCTGCACAGCGCGCCCAGCTCTGACAGCGACAGCGGCGGCGGAGGTCTGTCCCCAGAGCCACCCGAGCCGCCGCCGCCTGCCGCTGCGGCCAAAGGCCCTGGAGCTCATGGCTCCGGTGTTGCGGGTTCTGCTCCGGTACCTCCTGGCGAGCCACCCGCGCCTGGCACCTGCGACCCCGCCTTCTATCCGAGCCAAAGAAGCGGCGCCGGCCCGCAGTCGCGACTAGGGCGCCCTGCGGACAAGGACACGGTCCCATGCGGGCCCGGAGCGGCAGCGACCGCGGGTCTGCCCAAGGCTAGCCCATTCAGCGTGGAGAGCTTGCTGTCCGACTCTCCACCGCGTCGCAAAGCCACCCCAGCCAACGCCGCGGCTACCGCGGGGCTGGACTTCACGCCGGGGCTGCCGTGCGCACCTCGGACCCTGATCGGCAAGGGCCACTTCTTGCTCTACCCCATCACGCAGCCACTTGGCTTCCTGGTGCCACAGACCGCGCTCAAGGGTGGAGCGGACCCTGAGTTAGCGCCCAAGGACGCGCCTCCCGCGCCGCCAGCGCCGCCCGCACCACCAGCGCAGGCCAGCTTTGGGGCCTTCCCCGGACCCGGCAGCGCTGCCGACCCGACCTACGCCCGTCGCAGCCCTGAGGTTGTTGCCTCCCCGGGGCCACCAGCTCCCGCGCCTTTCCGGGACCTAGCAACGGCGGCAGCCGAGAGCGGTGCTGGGGACTGCGCGGACGCGGGGACCGTCTGCCCCGCGGCCCCGCCGCCCCCGCCCCTCGAAACATCGCCAGGCCCGCATCCCAGAGCCCCCAGCCCAGCTGGGGAGCCAGCCACCCGCAGCGCCACTGAGCCTGGCGCTGCGACAGGACCCAGCGTGCCCGAAGGCGAGGAGGTGGACATGGACTGAGCTAGGTACCGCGGCCTGAAGAGGCGCCTAGCCGGTCGGCGCCTGCTCGCTCAGCCCTGGACTCCCAATGAATCAGGTGATTGGCTCTTAGAGACACTGCTTTTCCTCCTGCTTTTTGTTTTATTCATTTTATTATTATTTTTAAAGATAAACGAAAACGCTGTGTCGATGGGGACCAGGGCAGCAACTGCAGGTCCTGGGGTGAGGTCCCCTCCTCTGGAGGGAGCAAAAGACCCCCGTATCCCCTAACCCACAAAAAACCCACAACGAGAATCCTCAGCCTTGTAAAATGCAAAAATGTCTAAGAATATTTATATATGTACCATTTTTTATAAATAAAGCCGGTCAAACGCAAACTCTTGGTTCCATCGTTTTTAAATTTGGGGCTACTCCCCATACCCCGCCTTCCTCTTTCTAATGACCCACTCCTCTTTTGGAGGGTGGGCCTGGGAGGGAACTCTGCACCTCCCCCTAGGTCTGCGCTCTGCACTTCCTTTTGTGTGCGTGTTTGTGTTTTCTGATTGAACAAATGTATGCAACCTCAGCTCAGCTTCCCGTCTCCGAGCCTCCCCCGCGATTCCCCCTCCTACTCAGCGCCACCTCCCCCCTCGCGTTCACACCACACACACACACACACACACACACACACACACACACACACCACCCCCGCGCGCCCCCGCGCGCACCCCTGCACACTGGCACACGCCGGGGGCGCGCGGCGCGGGGTGACAGGAGCCGGGGGCTGCAGAGGGCCGGGCCGCTGGGCTCCTGCAGAGTTTTGATATGAAAGTAATTATTTTCCGGTGGCGGCTGCGGGGACTGGGTTTCTTGCCCAAAGGGTTATTATACATTACCGATTTCTAGTGATATGAAATCACATAAACTTCCTACAATAATAGAATTAGCATGAAAGGCTGGGGTGTCAAATTGAAATTGGAGAATAATAGCGCCGGCAGCTGGGGGAGTGCGTGCGCATATTGGAGCGGAGATGGGGGATCGTGGGGCGGAATTTTCATGAGCTGCACTCTTTGTCAGCGCGCTTGTAGCGGGCTATATTAAGATAGATGCCCAATGATATCCCTCATTGTTCTGTCGCTTATATTGATGTTGCTGCGTTATCAGCCTATTGATCATGTGTCGCCTGTAATAGGACAGGCGCCGCC